TGTCCAAGCTGTTACAGAAACCATTCAGGAAAATGTTCTAATTTTCCAGTAAAATGTTACAAGTGTGGAAGCTCGGGCACATTAGTAAAAATTGTGACAGCAACTCAAACCGATGTTATGAGTGTGGATCTGAGGGACATATTCGTCGTGACTGTCCAAAGCTCAGGGATTCTGGAAAGGGGACATCGAAAGCAAATCAGCCAAAGAAAGATTTGAGGGTTCCGGGTAGAGCATATCAGATGACTGTAAAGGAAGCTCGTGATGCAGATGATGTAGTCACCGGTACGTTCTTAGTCAATTCCATACCTGCATGTGTACTATTTGATTCAGGAGCCAATCGTTCTTTTGTTTCTGTSACATTTTGTGATCGATTTGGCATATCAACTAGTTTGCTATCACATGCATTAGTGGTAGAGACAGCTAATGGGGGGCAAGTGTTAATACATGAGGTTTATGATGGATGCAYGATTGAAATTGAGGGTATCTTGTTCCCAGTTAGCTTATTACCTTTGTCAATCGGGGGATTTGACGTTGTGATAGGAATGGACTGGTTAGTTAAACATGGAGTCRATATTTTATGTTCAAAGAAGATGCTTTCAATTTTGAGACCTAATGGGGAGACACTATTAGTTTATCAGGATAGGTGAAAGGGTGATATAGGGATCATTTCAGTGGTGAAAGCACGAAAATGCCTTATTAAAGGTTGTTCTTCATTTTTGGCATACGTTGTGGATGCCAAAGTGGAAAAGAAGAAGATTGAAGATGTTCGAGTAGTGTGTGATTACCCTGATGTGTTTCCCGAAGAGTTGTCTGGTTTACCGCCAGATCGTCAGGTTGAGTTTCGTATAGACCTCATTCCTGGTGCAGCGCCAATCGTTCGTTCTCCATATCGGCTAGCACCTTCAGAAATGAAAGAAATGATGACTCAACTGCAGGAATTGCTCGACAAAGGTTTCATCCGACCAAGTTCTTTACCATGGGGTGCTCCAGTATTGTTTGTAAAGAAGAAAGATGGCACATTAAGGATGTGCATCGACTACCGCGAGCTGAACAAAGTGACTATAAAGAATAAATACCCTCTTCCTCGCATTGATGATTTGTTTGATCAACTCCAAGGTGCTAGTTATTTCTCCAAGATTGATCTTCGATCAGGTTATCATCAATTGAAAGTACGGCAGGAAGATGTTTCCAAAACTGCATTCAGGACCAGGTATGGTCATTATGAATTCTTAGTTATGCCATTTGGTTTGACGAATGCTCCAGCTGCTTTTATGGATTTGATGAACCGATTCTGTCGCCCTTTCTTAGACAAATCAATTATAGTATTCATAGATGATATCCTTATTTACTCCAAGAATGAGGAAGAGCATGAAAGACACCTGCAGRAAGTTTTGGAGTTACTGAGACGAGAGAAACTTTATGCAAAGTTCTCTAAGTGTGATTTTTGGCTAAAAGAAGTACAGTTTCTTGGTCACGTAATTTGCAGTAATGGTGTGAAAGTCGACCCATCCAAAGTAGAAGCAATAATGAGTTGGGAGGCTCCGAAGAATCCTACATAGATAAGAAGTTTTCTGGGATTAGCGGGTTATTACCGCAGATTCATACAAGATTTCTCAAAGATTGCTTCACCCTTGACTGCTTTGACTAGAAAGAATGTGAAATTTCTATGGACTGAAAAACAAACAAATGCCTTTGAAATATTGAAGAAGAGATTATGTGAAGCACCTGTATTGGCTTTGCCAGAAGGATCTGATGATTTCGTTGTATACAGTGATGCATCTGGAWTTGGTTTAGGTTGTGTTTTAATGCAAAGAGGCAAGGTAATTACTTATGCTTCTAGACAACTTAAGGATCATGAGAAGAATTACCCAATACATGACTTGGA